AACATTAAATTGCAAATATAAAATGATGACCATTTTAGGTGTGGAATGAATGTAACCAACGACAACGACAACGGCAACGGCAACAACAATACTTTCTGATTCAATGATCATCATCATCATCATTGATGATTGAATTTGTTGTGCATCTCTTTTTCTCTCTCTCTCTCTCTCTCTCTGTTTATGGGCTGAACAAAAAAAAAAAAAAAAAATTTCAGCCACCAATCGGCTATAAAAAACGCTGATGATTTGTTGATCAATGGAACAAACAAACAAACAAACAAAAAAAAAAGTACAAAGTTTACGATGGAAAAAAAATCAAAAAAGTTTTTTTTATGTGTTTGAAAATTTTTTTTTTCTGTTTATTCATGTACCATGTGTGTGTGTGTGTGTATATTCACCATGCACGAAATACTTACATGGTATACAATATACAATTATATATATTTCTTAATTGTAAATATTTGTACTTTTGCAATGTTTTTTTTTCTTTCTCATTTCATTTATATTTATATATTCACACATTCTCTCTATGTGGAGAGAAACAAACAAACAAAACAAACGAAAAGAAATGAAAAGAATCTAACCACACCATACCAGAACATTTTATTCGAATTTTATATGAAACACATACACATTACATGAATCGTATTTGTAGATAATCGATCTTTTTCAATAACTTGTCAAGGTAACAGTGTTGCTGTTGTGTGGTTTGGGTTTTTTGGTTTTCTCACTTTTTACACACACACACACACACACACACACAGAGAAAGACAGAAACCATCCATTTTTGTCAAAAAAAACATAATTGAATGATTTATTGTCTTGGCACAGTTTAGTTTAGTTCTTATTACTATGAACTATGACTATGTTTATTATTGATACAGCTTTGATTTTGGATTGATTGATTGATTGAATGAATGATTCATCCGTGTGCATACATAAAGACATGCATTGTGTTTTTTACTCCATAAAAAAAAATTTTTTCCAACCATGAAAATGAAAATCAATTCCAAAATTCTTACTCACTATCTTGCATGCTTGTTAGCACATCATTTAAACAAAGGAACAAAGCCATAATATTCTCTTTTGTCATCCTGAAGAAAAGCGAAACTTGTACTTCTTAAAAAAATGAAAAATGAAAATTGCCTAGATTTTCTCATCATCATCATCATAATAATATATACACAACAACAAAACAGTGTGCGTGTGCATACATGCACACAATGTGTTGAAAGACAGATGAGAAAAAAAAAAAAGTTTCGGATCGATGAACAAAACAAAATGATCGATTCGTTTTTTTTGTTTTGTTTACAAAACAACAAAAAACTTTTTTCAAATTCACACTTTTTCCAATCAAAAAAAAAAAATTTCCGAAACAAATTTTTTTTACAAATGATTTTCCATTTGTCAATTCTGTTTTCTTTGTTGGTGGTGGTGGTGGTAGCTGCAATTTGTTTAGTGTTTTTTTTATGGTTTGGTTTGGTTTGGATTGGTATTGCCATGAAAAAAAAATTTTTCAATGGGTCACTATTTTATGGCGATTTTTTTCATTTTGTATTTGAAAATGATTTATGATGACAAATTTTTTTTTTCATACTATAAATCATTTAAAAATTGTCCACTCACAACCGAAAGAAAAAAATTTCGATTCGATTCGATTGGTCCACCACACACACACACACACACACTCTATATTTAATGATGATAAAGAATATTCTTTATCGTTTTTTTCTTCTTTATAAATTCAAAATGATAATCTTCGTCGAGGGCATCATCATCATCATCATCATCATCATTTTCTATGATTTTCGTCTAGGACCATTACAGAATCATTGAATGAATGAATGTATAAGCCACACACTACACATACCACCTGCCAAGTTGAAATTTTTTTTTTTCGTTTTCGTCTGTCTGATTATTCTATTTTCAGTCACATTGAAAAAAAAATATGATTGAGTTGAATGAAATTCAATTTCTAATTTGAATTTCTAATCAATCGGGTGCAAATAGTGCAAACGGGAAAAAAATCATATAAATAGATTCAGTTTATAGATCAGTTTAATGGAAAAAATTCACACTATTCGTTTTTTTTATCACACATTGCTTCGAAATTTTTTTTGGCTATTCTTAGTGATTGAAATAATCTTCTTTTTTCTGGTTGGACTAAGTGAAATTCTTCTCTTCCTGTTGTCAAAAGTAGGAAATTCAAAGATTGCCATCGCAATTCTGTGAGAGGAAATTATTTTTTATTTTTCATTCTGGATCATCACTACAAAAAGTCTCTGGAGTATATTTCATGATGGTGATGGTTGATGATGACGCTGGAAATTGCTTGATTTTTTTTTAACTTTGTCTCTCTCTCTGCCTCTGTGAGTGTCAATGAAAATTAATTTGCAACATTTTTTTTCGTTTTGTTTTTGTTGCATTCACACACACACACACACACAAACACATTGGAAATGAATGAAATGAAATATTTGATTAAAATTCATCATAATACATCAAGCATGCAAAAAAAAAAATTCAATTCATTTTCAGTACATCAAAACTTTTTTTTCTGATTCTGAAACTAGAAAATTCCAAATATTCAGTTCATAATTATCACACACACACACACACATTTCTACCTATCGGAATTCATTCAGCTAAATTCAGAGAAGAAAAAAGAATTTAATACGTAAATTTTTCATTCATTCAACAGAAGAAAAAATTAACCAAGTTAATTTATTTCTTGTTGTTGTTGTTGTTGTTGTTATTTTTTTCATCAATGCACTAAATTCACATGAAATTGAATTTGATTTGAAAAGAGAAATGAATAATAAAAAAACGGTGACCCATAATGAATTATGGTGAAAGCAAAAAAAAAAAAAAAAAAAACTCAGGAATGAAACCAAAAAGAAAATTAACTTTCCATAAGGTTGACATAATCATCATCATAATGATGATGATGACAGGCAAAATTTCATTTTCCCATAATAATAATCATCATCATCATTATTTCATCATTAACCAACATACGTGTTCTGTTTATTTATTTATATTGATTTGATGAATGAATGGTGATGATGAGTATTGAGAGAAAACAAAACAAAACAAAAATCCAACCATCCACCTACCTTATGGTTTTGGTTTTTTTTCCTTTCTTCTTCATCATCATCATCATTTTTTGATATCGCCATCCATATTTCATTCCATTCGTCGTCGTCTCTCTTTATTACTCTAGGATGAACGAGAAAAAAAAATATTCAATTCATTCCAATTGAAAAACATTTGTTGACTGGCTGGTACTTTTATCTTTCTCTCTCACTCTTTTCTCTGTATATTAGTTGAATTTAATGGTTAACGACAACCAGGCAGGCAATCATCATCATTATCATCATCATCATTAAATTTAATTTGCTTTATTATCATAATCACGATTATCAGCATGATGATAATGATAACAAAATTCTATGATTACAGAAAAAAAATATTGAAATCTATTATTTATCTATATAAAAAAAATAACAAGCCATTGTGTTATTGATGAGATTTGTGCAAAATGAAATGAAATGAAATGAAAGCGAAAGTGAAAAAAATTCACCAAATGAGAGAAATAAAAAAACACACACATTAAATTCATTTCAATTCATTGAATGATTGTTGTTGCCATAAAACGCAAAACATTTTCATTTCAAATTCATCAAAACAAAAAAAAAAATCATTAAAATGGGAATTATTAGATTCGTATTAGGCAATCATTTCATTAAAAATTCAAATTGCAGAAAACAAAACAAAGAAAAAAATCAATTGGACCAATTTGTCTTTCAGCACATCGTTCCATTTGAATTTTTCATTTTGTTTGCATTGTTTTTAAATTGAAATTTATTCATGACAATGGCAACAAAAACGACGACAACATACAATTCAAATTGATTTAGTGGCAATGATGATGGTGGTGATTGCGGTGAAAAGAAAACAAAACAAAAAAAAACAGCAGCAATAAAAAACACCACCACTTTTCGGTAAACTTAGTTTATTATTTTCACTTGAATTTAATTTTTTTTTTCATATTCACAAAATTGTTGTTGTTGTTGCTGCTGCTGTTATTTTGTTTTTTTTCTGTTTCACTATAGAACTAAATTGAAGCCATAAGAATATTCTGTTTTTTTTTCTTGAAAATTGAATTGGACATTAATGTGTATGTGAATCATAAGTTAAAATTTTCTTGTCGTTATTGTTGCCATTGACAAAAAAAACTTACTAGATAAAAACGATTCTTGTTACTGATGATGAGTAAATTCTTCAATTTCTGAATTTCTGAATTTAAATTAATAGATAAATAGATAAAGTTATATGCTTGTCATTTTTCATCATCCTTTTATACACACACACTGACACACGGCAAAAGTTTTTGTCGCTGTTGTTGTAGATGAGAATTTGTGTGGAAATTTTTTTTTAAATTCAATTTTTTTTTGTCATTTTATTTTGGAAGAAAAAAATAAATTTTCACTTACTTGTCATTCACTATCGTCGTTTGCCATTGGTGAATATCATTTTTTTGCTTTGCTTTGCTTTCATTCTTCATCATCATGATTCGATTTGACATGATTCTCTTCTGCTCTCTTGATTACCATGATGATGATGGAAAAAATGTGGTTCAAATTTTTAAATTTATTTTTCTTGTCATTAAATAATTTTTTTTTCTGCGAAAAAAATTTAAAAATGACAATTAAATTTTCGTTTAAAAAAGCCGAACAAAAAAAAATTCTCATCATGTTTATCCAAACAAAATATGATTCAAATATAACCCTGAAGAAAAATATATTCGATTTCTATTTCGACATTAATAGCCAAAAAAATATAAGTTCAAATCGAATGGTGAATTTACGCGAGTGGAAGAAAAAAAAAGTTTTTTTTTCATTTCATTTCATTTTTTCCATTAGTTTTTTTTTTACTTTACTACTTGCAAGAAGAAGAAAAAATCCAGATTTTTTTTGATGCCAAAACTCTTGGGACAACGACAACATTTTTTTTTCGCCCGTATATTTTGCTTCAGGTTTTTTTTTCATCCAATTTCATTATTATGTTCATGTGTATGAATGTGTAGACCAGTCAATTTTCCATTTTTTTTGTTGTTGTTGTGTTGTTGCTTGAAATGATTGGTGTTGTATATTCGATTTATTTATTCGACATATATTGATGTAAGTAATATATATACTCTCACATTCTATTTTGCCTTTGATATTTTTTTTTTTTTTGTAATTGAAATAATATTTTCGATCCACGATCGAAGAGTGAAATTTTCTCTTTGAAAACATTCAGTGTCCAGTTTTTTTTTCTATCTCTTTTGTAAGAGAGAGAGAGAGAGAGAGAGAGAGAGAGAGAGGAGGTGATAGTTTGTTTTGTACTTCTTCAGAGGTATCTTAGATATTTTTTTTCTTCTCTTTGTGATAACCAAGAATGAATTGGATGTTTTTATTTCCCTATATTTTTTCTCAATTCTCTTTCATTATTATTGTTGATTGTTGATGATGATATATTTATGTTCATTATCGATTGATCAATAATCTATAGATTTGATCGTTTTTTCCTCCCCACCTATTTTTACAATTATTAGGTCATTATTAGTATGATAATGAAGACAATTCTTGGTCAATTTAATGGCTATAGAATATAATCAAGATTTTGATCTACGTCATTTGAATCATGTTTTTTTTTTCTTCATTACATCTATAGATAGATTCATTCTCTGATGATGATTAGCATCATCATCAGAGAATGTCCAACTATAAATGAATATATATGAAAAGAGCTAAAAAAGCAAAAACAAAAAATAATTTCTCTCATGAGAATTGATATTTTTTTCTTCTTCTTCTTCTTCAGAGATCGGATATAATTATTATATGACCGTTCTGATGAAAATTCGAATGCATCTGGAAATCTTTTTTTTTTTTTTTTTTTTTTGTTAGTTTCAACAAGAATTAATCAGCTGATTGAGAAGAACAAGCTATTAATAATTTTCCATACTAATCAAGTAATCATTTTTTTCTGATTTTTTTTAGTCTATAATAAATTGCCATGCCCGAAAACATTGTTGTTCAAAAAAAAATCAAACCTTTATTTCAATGGAGAAAAAGAAATTTCAACAAAAAATCAAAATCAAAATCAATAATATCTATCCATCCATCAATGATTAATCAATCAATGAAAATCGAGCTTCGTAGTAGAAGAATCGAATTGTAAAACTATACATATCGAAATATAGGTGATTTATAATAATTTCAAATGTTTAATGATTTTATATCATCATCTGAAGAATATCACCATCATCATCAGACAACTACAACAATATGGCAATCATCATCATCATCATCATCACCGGATAATTCCATTATCAATGATCCATTATTTAATCTAATTCTCAAAAATATTGGACATAATCGACAACAACAACAACAACAAAATGATACAAATGGTCAATCGAATGAAATATCATCATCATTTTATAATGTTGATGTTACATCTATGATGAATGACAATGATGATGATGATGATGATCAAACAATGAACATTGCAATATTGATTACACTTTCAGTTATATTAGTCTGTTTGATATTGGCTACAATAATAGGTATGTGTGTGTATCGATGAATATAAATGCCAAAAACCAAAAACTAAAATAAATTTCATAATGACACCTAGGAAATGTATTTGTCATATCTGCCGTAATATTGGAACGATCATTACGTTCTGTGGGAAATTATCTAGTCGTTTCATTGGCCATTACAGATTTATTGGTCGCATGTCTTGTTATGCCAATTGGTGCCATTTATGAGGTGACCGGTGAATGGCGTATGGGCATTAAATTATGTGAATTATGGACATTTATCGATGTACTTTGCTGTACAACAAGGTATTTGTATATATAGACTATATTAAATAACAATTGATGGATTTTTATATTTATGATATAATATGTCTTTCTTCTAGTATATTCCATTTATTGGCAATTTCATGTGATCGTTTATGGGCCGTTACAACCGTTGATTATATACATCGACGTAAAGCAAAACATGTTTGTGCTGGCATCACAATTATTTGGCTATTCTCTGCACTAATATCATTTGGTCCAATGCTTGGTTGGAAAGATAATGAATTTGAACAAAGAATTGTTGAACGTAAAGAATGTATGATTTCGCAGGATATTTCATATCAAATATTTGCCACAATATCATCATTTTATGCTCCATCAATTTTATTATTATTACAATATTATAGGTATGTATATATATGCGTTTAATCTATGATGATGATAATAATATTTTCCTAAGAATTTCATAAATAACATTAACAAAAAAAAAACTTTGCAAAAACAATTTAGCTTCCGATAAATAAAATGTTCACTATGAAAGTCATAAAACCATCATCATCATCATCATCATCAGAAACCGAAAGCCAATAGTAAAGAAAAGAATTTCGAATGGAAAACAAAAACAAATATAACATTCTATAATCAATTCTTATTGCATCATTAAACTTGGTGAATGTAATTAATTATTAATCCAATCGAGAAACAAAAATTGAGAATGAAGAATAGAAAAAAAAAATCTTTTCTTTCTCACGAATTTATTTTGTACTCGAATAAGTGAGATAGATGGCCGCTTGTATTATTGCTAACACAGATACCGATGAAACAAAAAAAAAGTCGATAAATTTTTATTTCATTGGAAAACATTTTTCTCTTTTGTTTTTTCTTCATTGCTAATAGATTTTTTTTTTTTACTGATGAATGCTTTTGTGGTAAATTGAAATCCAATCATCATTTTCTAGATACCTATAGGTTTTTTTTCCCTGTCTCTCACTTCAGTTTTACATTTGGATCAATTTATCTTGTTTGAAACAAAAAGACCCGGATGATATAGCCTAGAGGCATAAGTGTTTGAGTGTGTGTGTGATAAAATCTTTGCATCGTGAAATTCCATTAGTGTAAATAAATGTCATCTGTATTTGGATGTGGTTAATAATGAAATGGACATATAATTAATTAATATAAATGTGTCGTAGAAGCTGCTAATAAATTAATGTGATACTTAATAATCATCAAGAATTCTAATTCTCTTTTTTGTTTTGTTTTGTTTATTTTTTGACTTTATTCTGACATATATTAAATAAAGAATATATCAAGTGGCTAAAGCACGTTTAAAATTAAAAAAACAACGCTATCAACATCGTATACGGAGACGACCATCATTTTATCGTACACGTAAAGAATCTGAATTGAAAGAATTTCCACGTGTCACACATCGGATATCGATAAATGCGAATGAAGAATTTTTTAGTACATCGACTGCCATCATAAATCAACCACCACCATCATCATCCATATCAACGGGTGTTTATTCATCATCAACAACAACAAATACAGATTATACAACCAATACAACAACGACAAATACGACAACCAATACAACATCATTATCAAATGATCGTACATCATCAATTATTTCGATTAGTCCACCGGTTTTCGCTACACTTAAACCACCACCACCACCACCACTACCACAAACACCGGAACCGAATCCAATTGTATCGACATCAAAACGTTTTTCTATCGTACAATTTTTTCATCCACAACCTGTCGAACAACAATTCGATGATGATGATGGTTACGAAGAAGACGATGAAATTAATGATAATGGTGATGGTGGAAAATTTTCCATGAAACATTTCGATGATTATTGTGACAATAATGATTTACGATCAAATGAAACATCCATTGATGATGAATCAACAATTATTGTTGGTGCAGAAAGAACATCGAATATTATCGTTTATGTTGATGATTATGGTTCAACAATATGTAGTAGCTGTGATCCAACAGAAAATTGTAGCAGTGGTGGTGGTGGTAATGGTATTTCCTATTATCATCATTTAGATGGCCAAAATTGTCATTTCAGTGGTATTGGTGGTGGTGGTGGTACTGCTGCAACTGCAATCATAACCACCACCGATCAAATCGATGAAGATGATGAAGAATTTGTTGTTGTTGAAAATCCTTTCGATACTGAAATTGCTGTCACTATCGATGACCATGATGTTGATTTAAATACTAAAAATCGAATGGAATCATCACAAACACCACCACCACCACCAATAATGATCAATGAAGAATTATCAATAGAAAAGCCAAATTTATCCGAAAGTCCGTTGGATAATTCGGACAAATTAGAATTACGAAAAATCAGTGTTCATTTAGTTCCACCAATTTCTACGAAGGAAATTGAAAATCCACCACCAACAACCACTGAACATTTGAACAATCAACAACAACGACAACAACAACATGATCATCATCATCATCATCATCGACATAAACATTCAACATCGAAAAAACATAAACGACGAAGAATTAAAAAATTGAAATTTAAAAATAAAATTCTTCGTTTCGATAACAACAACAATAATAATAATAATGCTGCTGGTGGTGGTGGTAATAACCAACAACAGAATCAACAAGAAAGTAAAGCTGCTAAAACATTGACAATAATAACTGGTAAGTGGTGTTTTTTTTTTTTTTTTGACCAATTTGATTTGTAAAAATTTTTTTTTCTTTGTTGACACATTCAACCAGGTGTATTCATAATTTGTTGGCTACCATTTTTTGTTATCGCATTAGTAATGCCATTATGTGGTAATAATTGTTATATAAATAAATATCTATTCGATTTTTTCATCTGGCTTGGTTGGGCAAATTCAACATTGAATCCATTTCTATATACAATCTTCAGGTATGTGGATCCAGAATTTTCATTTTGATGATGATGATGATTCTTACGTTTTCACTTATTTATTTACTCATTTCAGTCCAGATTTTCGAAATGCATTCAAAAAACTTTCAAAACGAATCAAAGGATAAACCAAAAAAAAAAAAAAAATTTTCGCAGCAACAAGCTGTCTTTGGTTGTGATATATTCAAAATCATCTTATTCTCATCCACATAGCACACACATATCCATCTATTTTCACAGTTTGATTGTGATATTGGGATTTTTTTTTTTTTTTTTGATTAAAAAATGTTTTGATTTAAAATTTCTTTATTTTTTCAATGAATGAATAAATTCATTATTTTCGATTGATTCGAACGAAAAATAAAAGCCAATAGAAACAATTCTGTATGTGTATATATTTTAGATTTTTTGGAAAGCAGCCACATCTACTGATTGTACAAAATCTTCGAATGCTTCAATTTTTTCGGACAATTCTTCAATGCTCACTATGAATTTGAAAAATAAACAAAATATTTATTTATTTATATATTAGACACATTAACATTGCTGATAATAATCATTAAAAATACCTTTATCATCTTCAACAACGCATACAATTTGTAATTTTTTAATACCATATGCTAATGGTACCAATTTCGATGCACCCCATTTAAGGCCATCCATTTCAATGGAACGTACATTTTGTTCCATAGCTTTCATATCGGTTTCATCATCCCATGGTTTTACATCCAATACAACGTTCGATTTGGCGATTGTTCCTGGTTCTATTTAAAATTAAATGATTCAGTTTTAATTTTAAAATTACAAATCAAAATAAATATCTAATTACACCCATACTTTTAGCTTTCTTTTCAGCATAAGCTTTAAGACGTTCTTCACGAGCTTTTTCAGCTTCCTCATCTGGTTCTTCATCTGAACCAAAAAGATCGATATCATCATCATCATCTTTAGCGGCCGGTTTGCCACCACCACCAGTGACGCCATAATCTTGTAATGATTTTTTCAAACCAGGAAGTTTATTCTTTTCTGATTGATAGCTTTTAATGTGTGTATACCATCGAGATGCGTGTTCATATTTAGCGGATACACTTTTCAATGCTTCATACAAAATAATATCCGATTGTGTTGGTATATAACTGAAATAACAATATCGAATGATGATCAATGAATTAAGAATGAAACACGGCAACAATACACTTACCCTTCGATGTAACTACGTGTAGCCAGATATTCATCAAGCTTTTTCAAGCCTTGATCGGAATTAATATCTCCACCGATGTTAAGCATTTTTATTTTTGATTGTTTTGTTGAATGAAAATAAATAATTTTAGAAAAAATGATGATTTTTCTTTAGCTTTTTACAAGCTTGTCGATGGATGGAAAAGAAGAAATTCACGATTGTAAAAAAAAAAGACACGTGTAACGAAACAAATGAGCCGCACACACATAAAGACACACTGTGATATGTCGCGACCGGCGGTGTGGTTTTTAATCTGCAGAACATCATCGAAAACTCAATAAAAATTTTCCCGCATTTCCGAAAGATGGCACCAGTGCCGTAAAAAGAGGAATTTTTTTAATTTTATTGCAACAATAAAATTACTGAAAACAAAAACAAAAACAAAAAAATTTCTTTTCAATCATCTGAAAACTTTTCATTTTATTGCTTCCGATTTGGAAATCCCCGATTGAAGAAGAAGAAGAAGAAGAAGAAAATGAAAAACGAAACGAAATTCTTTTCTTCATTCATCGTTAACAACAACAACAACAAGTGAAACCACATGAAAAAAAATGAGATTATCACACTTACCACTATCACCCCAAACAATATGAAATTGATGTTTATGATGATGATGATGATGATGGTTGACCATGGCGAGTTGTATGATGATAAGTTGTACTTAAAAAAAAATGTTAATGAATGAATTATTGCAATAATGAAAAAAGAGAGGAGAGATTCGTATAGTAAAATGAAGAATCAACCTTCAATGACTACCTATGAAGTGATCATCATATTGAATGAATTTCAAGTGTTTACTTCGTGTGTCATTATTTTAAATCAAATTATAAATCTTTACAACACCATCATTCAGCGGCGATGGGGTTTTTTCATATATCATTCGTCGTCGCTGTTATCGTCGATAAAAGAACGAAAATAAAACTTCAAAACAATTCGCGTTCGATTGTGAAAGAAAAAAAAATCAATTTGAAAATAAAACATTTTTACCGATAATGATATTTTGCTGCTAACAAAATGGAATTGATCATGAAAAGTAAGAATATTCTTTTTTGATTTTTTTTTTTAAATTTTTTATATAGTTTTACAGATTATTCTTTATGCAATTATTCTATGGATAAATGTTTCGCGATCATTGGAACCGGATCGCCATTGTTTAGATTGTATTTGTCATGCATCCACTGGTTGTAAACGAAATATTCAATGCCATAATAGCGGCAATGGACAATATTATTGTGGTCCATATCAAATATCGTGGGCATATTGGGCTGATTCCGGTAAACCTGGTGATGCTGGTTTTGCAAATGATTTTGAACAATGTTTAGTGAAAAAATCCTGTTCCGAAGCTGCTGTTCGTGGTTATATGAAAAAATATGCTAATGATTGTAATGGTGATGGTCATGTTGATTGTTTTGATTATGCTGCCATACACAAGGTCAGTGTCGTTGTGTGTTTATTGCAATTTTTTTTTTTTGTTTATTTCATTACATTTCTTATATTTCAATGTTAATCATGATGATGATGATGATGATGATGAATGATGATAGAAATGTGTGAAATTCATTAACAACAAATTGGCAGGAATATTTTTTTTTGTTTTAAATTATACATTCATTTCGAATAATAATTATTCATTTATTCATTCATTAGGTTGGACCTTCTGGATCATGTCAACCATCTTGGCTAATTAATAGTAAATATTGGATTGAATTTCAACAATGCTATTCACAATCACCATCATCATCGACAGCTTCATCATTCAGGGACAATTCAAATTTACCATCAAATACAAGTATGATTACTAAACACACTAAACTATAATTTAATTGAATATTATTATTTTTTTTTTGGTAAAAGTGATTGAAGTACCTAGAAATAAACCATTATTACCATTTTTACCACCATTACCGCCACCATTAATATTGCCTCCGGTACATGCTAGGGCATCTGCATCGGTTCCCGGAGCATCAGCTACAGCATCAGCCGCTGCTGGTTTCGATTCAAACACTGGTAATCCATTGACATTTGTGTCAAGTTCAACTGGAAATGGTAATAACGATGAAATCAGTATTGAAACATTTCCACCGTTACCAGCTTTACCTGGACGATTTGGACCATCAAATCGACCGAATCAGATTCCGGTAATTTTTTTTAAACTTTGAATCCTGATCATTATCACATTTCCATTGTTCACACAGCCAATTCCAGGTGTATTAGTCAATAAACCTCAACCATCAACTCCGGTTCTAGTGTCATCCGTCAATTTCGATCGAATGAAACCAATTAGATTTGATTTACCAGAAACAAGAAATCCATTATCGTCATCGTCTACTGAACGGGAAGATCATGATTCTCCGATAATAAATTCAGTTTCAAATGTTGAAGAACAACCTGAAGAAATTGTTGCTACTGTAACCAATGAAGAAATTTCTTATAATTGTCTTCAATGTTTATGTTATGCAAGTAGTAAATGTGATGTAAACAAAGGATGTGAAGGTGCTTATTGTGGGCCATATTTATTAAGTTGGGGATATTGGGCCGATGGCGGAAAACCGGAAAATGAATACGCTACCTGTTCAAAACAGAAATCTTGTTCTGAAAATGCCATTCAAGGTTATATGGCTAAATGGAAACGTGATTGTAATCATGATGGAAAGATTGATTGTATCGATTTTGCGTTAATACATAAACTTGGACCACATGGATGTGAAAAAATTCAAGCATTGAAATCAACTGATTACTGGAATCAATTTAGTCAATGCTTCAATCTTCCAAGTGAAAATGAAAACAAACCAGTACGATGTAAGGATAAAATTGTTAAATTTTTTTTTTGGTTTAATTTCTCATACATTTTTCATTTTTTCTAATAGCTACCGGACCAGTACTTGTTGAAATACCTAAACCACAACCGATAATATCTACTCGTTCTAGTGAACCATTTATCGGTCCAATACCGAATAATCCAAATGAAGATGAATCGAATAATTATGAAACACAGCCACAACCTAGAGGCGTAGTGATTCGAGTGAATAATCGTGATTTAATCAATACAAACAACAATAATAATAATTTACGAGCACCACCAACAAGATCAAGGCTACCTACACGAATCGATTTAGGTACGTTGAACACATCACAACCGATTATCATTCGTATTAAACCACCAACAAATTCGAATGATCCACGAAGAATAAATATTCCTGAAACAAGACCACCACCACCACCACCACGTCCATCGTCACTACAACCGAAACCTATTGAAATAATTGAAGAACAACCACCAACCATTATTGAACCATCAAGGCGGCCAATCATTCATGAAAATGATGATTTTTTTAGCCAACCAAGACCTTTTGATCAACCATCATCAAGAAATGAAGAGCCAAATGTTTCAGAAATTCGAAGACAGCCCCCATTATCACCCAAACCATCACCACCACCACCGCCACCATCATCACCATCAAGACCGAAGCCACCTGTAAGACAAAATGCAACAAAAGACAGTCTAGTTACACTTGAATGTTTAGAATGTATTTGTTATGTAAGAAATTATTTATTCGGAAAAAAAACAATTACAAATTAAAACATTCTTTATTAATCTAGGCATCAAGTAAATGTAATCCATCCATTGGATGTCGATCTGAAGGAACCGGTAAATATGTCTGTGGATCATATCAAGTTGATTGGGAATATTGGATGGAAGCTGGTAAACCGGGCAATCGTGCCGATCTATCAAATGTGGAAAATTTTCAAATGTGTATGAACAATCGTGAATGTGCCGATAAAACTGTTACTGAATATTTAAAACGTTTCCGTAAAGATTGTAATGAAGATGGTCATATTGATTGTAATGATTTGGCTGCATTACATATTGGTGGTCCAAAACATTGTGGTGCACAATGGTATCTAGATTCAAAATATTATTCTGATTTTCGTGAATGTTTTGATTTTTGAGTTGAAGAAAGAAATTTTTTTGTTTTGTTTTAATGATAATGATAAAATGTATTAATATTATAATTTACAACAAAAATGATATTTATATCATGTAAAAAAAACAATATATTATATACAATATACAACAATATGTCAATGTTCATTGATAAAATAATCAAATTCTGGTGGCAATTCCAATTGTTGCTGTTGAACGGCATATTGTTTTAATGATTCATATCGTTGCCGGAAATCATCAATTTCGGATTTTGTTTTTGCAATCAATTCACTTAGTTGTTCGACCGTTTGTACGACATCAACTTTTACATTTTCAAGATCACCTTTTTGTTCTAGACGTTTATTACGACATGATGCAGCATAGCCACGATTTTTTAATGTTCGTCGCCGCTGTTTCATTCGTATCATTTCTGATTTGGACATACCGGTCATTTTCAGTTGTCGATTTAATTCACGTACTGTTAATGTAACAAGTAGATCATCACTAATGATTGGATTCTGGCCATTATTTTGATTATTATACGATTGACAATTTATAGATTGATCACTATTGCTGTTGTTGTTATTGTGATTCGATGATTCAGAATCCATATCAGATGCGTTCATTAATGAATTATCGTCTTCTGTGGAATAGGTATCGAATGAATCACAATCAAATGGTTCTTGTTTAATCAAAGATTTAACTGCTTGTTGAGCTTCGTCGTCGTTGTCTTCAATTTTGATCTGTTTACGGCTATGAATGATTTTCGTTTTATTCTGATCATTCTGGTTACCATTTTTAACAATCATAAAAATACGGCCACCACCGATAAAAGTGCTACCATTTTTTCTAGTTTGATGATGATAATTGTTTTTCGGTGACAATAATTTTATGCCACTACCTGATGATGAAACATTATCATCATTGTTGTTTTTAGTGGTGGTGGTGGTGATGATGCCGGTTATTTGTTTTCTATTCATTACCATTTTTCCTGTCGTATTGTTTGTTCTTTTTGTCGAATAAATTATCTTTTTTTTTCTCGCCAGGTATGAATAGAATGATCATCGGTTTTTTTTGTTGATGAATATACAACCAATGCTTTGTTATTTGTCGTCGCCTGTTTATGGTGAAAGGCGAGAGGAGAGGATAGAACAAAATTCATTATTGTAAATGAAAAAAAAAATAATAAAGACACCCACCGACGGATGAAGAAAAAAAACAGAAAAAATTTTCTTTTTATTACAAGTTGACTGAAATGTTGATGAAAATGACCATATGGATGTCGATCAGTCTTATTTATGATTTAAATGGTCACGTCGTCGTCACAGCTTGTGATCGAGAATCACGATCGATCGAAAAAAATACAAAAAAGAATGGTATGAATGAATAAAAAAAACAAAAGAAACGAAATGAAAAAATTAATGCAAAGTCATGATCACATCAATCGAAACAACCAAACAAACAAAAACACACAAAGTGTGGTCCTTTTCATATAGTAGATGACTGAATTTTTTAAAAATCTTGTTTTTTTTTTTTTACACCAAAAAATTCTTAAATTGAAATAAAAATAATCAAAATAATCAATACTAAAAGATGAAAATATCGAGGATTCTTCATGATGATTGATTCGGTATGATTACAGAAATCTTTATCACAGGTACATTGTTCAATACGTGCACCAAAAACATAATCAATACGACAACTGAAACCACGTGTAAGATCATCTTCCGGAGCACATAAACGTTTCCATTTCAATACGATACCAGCTGGATTCGTTACGGCTTTCAGCATACAATTACGTGGACATTCACGTACCGGTACCAGTACGGATGCAAATTGATTAGCACTACAAACATCATAATTATTATAACAATGTGGCGTCTTACAATAATTGATATTATATTCACAAATATAACATTTTATTGATTGTCCTACAGTACGATAAATCAATCAATCAATAATTGAATTGAATCGAATTGGATTTATAGATAAAAAAAACAGAAAAATAACTTACCCGGTATTATATAATCCAGTAATATGATTAGAATCAAATGTTTGATGTTCATCACCATCATCATCTTTCATTCGAACTGAAATTCCGAGTCAGTGTGTTTCTCACCAAATGATTTGGGATTGTGATCAAATGAATGACAGATTAGACCATTTATCATTGGTGACACAGATTTTTTGGATCGCAAAAAAAAATATTTTGTCAATTCATCATCATTGTTGTCTGATATTAATATTTCCGTGAATGAATTGACAATAAAATTTCTTCACTACGTATCTTGTTGTTTGGCGGGAGATTTTTAATTTTTTGAAAAACATAATTTTTGGCGCTATTTTTTTTTTTTCGTTAATTCAATTAAATCACAAATCATTTATATATGAATACAAATGGCTATTATACGAATGTTCCACCACGATGGATTCGAATGTAATGGAAACAACCGAAACAGACATTCTAATCGATTCGTATACGGCGACTATTTTGAATGATAATGACGAACAACAACAACAACAACAACAGCAGCAATTTGAAATTGATGACCAAAAACCAGATTCATATATATTGATCATTATAATAATAATCTGTGTAGTTATTATATTGATTCTGATGATATTAATCTGGGTATTATGTTGTCGATTCTATCGTACAATGACATTGGCCGGTATCTTAGAACAGAAACAAAAAAGAAAAATTGAAAAAATTAAACGTAAATTAGCCAAAGAATTGTCCACAAAATATCGTGCTAAAGATCATCAAAGTATTATTACAATATCATCACCACCGACCACAACAAATAGAAGATCTGAAAGAAAAGATGATGAACAACATTATAAATCATCATCATCATCAACAACAACAACAACAACAACATCGGCATCATCGTTGACATTAATTCCTCAGACAACAAACACAACAATTCCATTGACTTTAAATCATCATCATCATTTACATAAAACGATAGAAAGTATTCGAAAAATAAAGGCAAAACCATCAGCCAAAATACCAGTACCACCATTACCACAAAATACATCATTATTATTATCACCATCGAAACGTTTTGAAAGTCTAAAAAGTTTTAAACCAGATAAATAAAAACAAAACAAAAAAAATTTTTTTTTTGAAAATTTAATAATTTTCTATTTCAACATTCCAGGTGCTTGTTCAGTTGAAATATGAATGATTCGCGGAAATCTGAACAAATCTCAAATTAGAGCCGATTTGCACGCCGCTAATGAAAAATTAAGCAATCTAACTGTTGTGTGTATTGAGTGATTTGCATTGTTTTTGATTTTTGATTCTCTAATCATCTGGAAATTATGCAAACTAGAAAAAATAAGCCGAAACAATCGCATCCAATAAATATGAATTCATTTCCAACAGTTGTTGACTCTTCACGACAACAACAGCAACAACAACCACAGCAATGTAATGTTATTAGTCAACCGATTTCATTATCATCATCATCATCATCGGTATTATCAACGGTACCATCGACAATTTCAATTCCAGTCATGGTTATGATGATGAATCCGAATACAAGGTAAGATTTGAACTTGATTTATAATTAATCAATTTGGATTAATATCATTTTTATCAAAATAGTCAAAATACTATAATAGCTAATAATCCATTGAATCGAACAAATATCGGTTTACCATCAACAGGTGTGAACATGAATCTTATGAAAGAATTGATTACAAAATCGATTGATGATATTAAGAAAAATGATGTTAATTATACCGGTACACGGTCATGGACTCGACAAAAATTTGATCAAATTCTATTGAATCTACAGACAAGCTTATTATCACAAATTGAAACTAATCACTCTAGATTGTTAATCACTACAAATACTGGTACTGCTGTTGCTGCTCCTACTACAGTTGATAATACAATGGCTCACTTTTCTCCAATCATCATTTCATCATCATCATCATCATCATCACCAACAACAACAACAACAACAAAAGCAAAAAACAATGAAACCGTTATCATTGATATCCCGGAAGAAAAATCAACAATCAAAATGGTAAAGAAAACTTGATTTTTAAACAATAAAGGATTTATAATTTAATTTATGATTTATGATTTTTTGTAAATTAATCATGATTGAATATTCTTTGAACGAAAAAAAGGAGGATGGTGGTGATAATCTTGGTATGACTAAAAAGCCAATGGCTATAGTGAATAATGTTCAACAACAATCATCATCAAAACAAAAACATTTTCACAATGTTTTTAGTTTCACCGAGAAATTGGACGCTAAACCAACGAAGAAAAAACAGCAAGGTCGGCCAAAACGACAAAAACAACCTACAAAAACAACAACAGAGTTGACAAATGTTGATTCACAATTTGCCGATATTGATTCGGATGATGAAATTGAATTAGTTATGGAAATTTCTCATAGTAGTCATCATCATCAGGAAAAACCATCAAAGATTCTCAAACTCGATAATTCAAGCGCCGAAAAAGAAACTAATGATGATGGTGAAATCAATATGGATAAAGATGGTGATAAAAGTGTACATTTAGAAGTTCTGGAAAAAATGAATGAAGAATTCAGACAAGAAGAAGATTATAAACCAGTGGTGGCTATGGATTGCCAGAATTTGAAACGAAATTTTTTCGTAAATATACATTGAACGATTTTGCATGATTGTTTTAATCTGATTTTTTTTCTTTTTTTTCCAGAAAACCAATCTTCAAAACATTGACATTAATAATAATGATGATGACCATCCTATGGATTCGTCGATCGTATATACAAGACGTTGTTTACGTGCAATACGTGGATTTCATGATCTTAATCCTCGTACACAAAAAACAATACGTGAAGATATTGATCGTTGTGAACGTTTAAAGATGAAGAAAAAATCACTGAAAGAATTTTTAGCAAAAATGTCCATTACTAGTGATCGTCTCATTTTAGATATTGATAAACAAAATGAAAAGATTTTGATCGAAGTAGATGAAGGTTTTGTTCAGATATTGAAATCACATCAACGTGATGGTATTCAATTTATGTTTGATTGTACAATCGAAAGTGTTGATCGATTGAAGAATCATTGCCATCAGACTGGCTGTATATTAGCTCATTCAATGGGTTTAGGTAAAACATTACAAGCGGTTGCATATCTACATACAATTATGACCAATCAACATACAGCAAGATTTATACGTAAAGCTTTAATTATTGTACCGTATAATGTTCATAAGAATTGGCAAGATGAAATACAAAAATGGTTGGATGAATGTCGACGTTATTTTAATATTGTACGATATGATCTATCTCGTTCGAAATCGATATCAGAACGTTTAGCAACAATAAAAGATTGGCATCAAACCGGTGGTATATTGGTAATGACCATCGGTACCTATACACGTTTAGTATTAGGACGTAGTTTTCATGAAGAAGAATCACCTGAAGGTATGGCAATTGTAAAGGATTGTCTCTTAACACCAGATGTATTCATCATGGATGAAGGACATTTATTAAAAAATTCATCAAGTCAAATAAATCGTGCTACATCACTAATTGTTACATCACGACGTATTATATTGACTGGAACGCCTATGCAAAATAATTTAGAAGAATATTTCGTTATGGTAGATTTTGTAAAACCAAATCTATTGGGTACAATACATGAATTTCGTAATCGTTTCATAAATCCAATAACAAATGGCCAACATATTGATTCAACAGATTTTGATGTTAATTTCATGAAAAAACGTGTACATGTTCTATTTAAAATGCTACAACCATCTATTCATCGTTGTGATTATCAAGTATTGGTGCCTGATCTACCGCCTAAACAAGAATACATTGTTTATCTTCAATTAACCGATATACAAGCAAAACTTTATCAATATTATCTTGATAATATAACGAAAAAATCACAACAAAATTTATTCAAAGATTTTTGGGTATTACTACTATTGAACAATCATCCAGCATTATTGATTGATATGTATGAAAAACAATATGATGTACGGATGGATAATGATTATACTATTGCACAAAATGATGATTATAATAATAATAATCGTTCACCTACAATAAATGATCTTTCCATGACAAAAAGGAAAACATTTTCACGAAACAAAAACAATAACAATAAACAACAACAATGGTGGACAGCTATTATTGATGAACGATATAATATACGTTGTATGGAATTATCATCAAAATTTATCATTATGTTTGAAATCATTGGTGAATGTCAAAAATTGAATGATAAATTGGTCATTTTTTCACAAAGTCTCATTAATCTAGATATGATTGAATTAATGTTAAGTAAATGTTCAAATTGTGATTGGTCTCGTGATGTTGATTATTTCCGTATCGATGGTAAAGTTACCATGGAAACAAGACATCGTATTATACAAACATTTAATGATGAATCAAATAAAAAGGCAAGATTATTGTTACTATCAACACGTTCTGGTGGTATTGGTATCAATCTAGTCGGTGCAAATCGTTGTATTATTTTCGATTGTTCATGGAATCCTGCACTTGATACACAGGCTATTTTTCGTATATTTCGTTATGGTCAACGAAAACCGTGTTTTGTTTATCGTTTAGCTGGATTTGGAACCATGGAAAATCGTATCTATCAACGACAAGTAGCTAAACTATCGACATCTAAACGTGTTGTAGATGAAAAACAGATACGTCGTTATTTTACATTAAGACAATTGGAAGAATTGTATACATTTATGCGAAAACCATTATATCCACAAACATTACCAGTTCCACGTGATGATCTTCTTGCTAGTTTAATACGAAAATATCCTGGACATATATTACTTTATTATGAACATGATTCATTATTACAGAATCGTCCAGAAGAAGAACTAAATGAAACTGAAAAACAACAAGCATGGATTGATTGGGAACATAATCGTAATGGTAATGCCAAAAGTTTAGATGAAATACGAACACCACTTGATGATGATGACGATGATGATGATTATAATGACCAATTTGATGATCCTGATGATTATCGTTCATTATTGTATTGATTTGATTTATTATATACTCAATTGATGATTGTTATTCGTTTTTTTTCTTTTGATTAATGAAACAAAATAAAAATTTTCGAAACAAGTAATAATTCAATTAAAACTTTTAAAATGGAATAAAAATCCAGTAATTTGTCACAATTATGATTGATTTGATGAATTATGACGACGACGACGACGACAAATACTAGCACGATAACAACAACATTGACAAAGACAAATGATTTAAATGAATTTATCGATTGGTTACACAATCTACGTGAACAATGGATGGAACGTTTTCAATCAGATCCATATATGACCATTGGTGTAACCATTACAATTGTAATGATCATTATAATTATATTGTTTGCATGGTTTTATTGTTATTGGCAATTTTGTCGTTCATGTTTAATACCTGTCAATGGTAATATTGAACAAACATCTAGGCCATTTTTTCGTAATGATCGTTATCATCAAATGATGATGAATCGTTTAAAACTTTTTCGTACTAAACGTATACCAACCACATTAATGTGGATGGATCAACAACAGCAACAACAACAGAATCAGCAACAGCAGCAGCAGCCAACGATGCCTACAACAACAACAACAGCAACCGAAACGAATGTTGACAATTCTGATTCATTATTCATCATCAATAATGATGATTATGATGATCAACAGCAACAAATTGGACATCGATTAACATCATCATCACCACCACCACCACCACCACGTAATCAACGAAAAAAGAGACCAATGAATTTCTATAGTGAATTTCCATCAACAGAACTATCGGAAAAATCTTTGCGAATAACAAGTGAAAAACAACAACAACAACAACGACCATCATTATCATCGAATAGTTTTAAATCAAACATAATGGATTTTATTAAATCACGGCTATATACACCGAAAGCAATCGATCCAATGACAACAAAAATTGAAAGTCTTAAAATTGAAAAATCCATTAACAAACAAAAACAACAACAACAAAAAGTGATGGTAAAGGAAAGGAAACAAAAACAAAAATTTTCACCACTAACATCATTATCATCGGCAAAACGTATTAATTCATCATCATTAGATTATACACCACCAGCAACAATTGATTTATTATTATCTGGACAACAACAGCTGCCACCACCACCACAACAACAACAACAACAACAATCATTTTTTGGTTCACGTATATCTGATTCATTGAATTTGTTACGTAACATTCAAAAACAATCACCGAAAAATCGTTGAAAATTAGAATGTTACTTGAAAAATCAAATCAAAACAACAACAACAACAACAACAAAAATAATATTCCATCATCACGTAAATTAATCATCAAATTTTTTTTTGTCAAATTGAATTTCAAACAATCAAAAAATGATTGAAATCGATAATCGATTGTGTATCATCGATTATCATCATCATCATCATCACAATCGATTTGAAAACATTCGAATTTAAGTTTGAATTTTAGTTCGATCTCCACCTTAGGTTTGATTTTTTGTAATGTTGTGTTTGCCAAAACCATTTTCATCGAATGAAGCAGCAATATCAAATCGATGATATCATATAGTAGTTTAATTGTATACGATTTGAACGAAAATCAATGAAAACAAAACGTATCAAATCGATTGTTGTTGCTGTTGTATCAGTAATCAACAACCTACAGATAAATTTATCAAGAAAAAAAATTGTCCATTTTCTGTGTTCCAGGTGTCTGTGTGTGTGTATGTGTATCTATCAAAGATGTACTGATGATAAAATCTACAAATGTTTAAAAAGCAGAAGAAAAAAAATTATAGCCCGAAGAAAATGTTCATACTACTGAAATGGAAAATATAAAGTTATCAAGTAAGTGTATGGACACTAAATACCACATTGGTTATCAGTAATAGGAAATGACCTTTTGTCACAATCACTTGTCCTTCCTTTTTTCCGTTATTTTTCTTGCTAAATTACTCCGTTTATTTTTTTTTCATTCATTTATTTCAACACATTCAAACATCCGATTCAAATATCCGATGATATGATGCCTTGAGGGGCCAATGATCATGATTTAACCAATTTACAATTTAAAAATGAAAAAAATTCTTCAACGAAAAAAAAAATTTAATCTTGTTACTTTAATCAAAGAAAACATCCGGCATTTTTTTTCGTGGCATTGCATCATAATTTCTTTAATCAATTTAATCTTTATGTGAAAATCGTCTGGATTATTTCATTTGCATAACAATCATCATCCAAATCGACCGCGAAACACTACATGAAACACAATGAAAAAAATCAAAAAGTGTGACCTTTGTCACATGTCACATTGTCTCATGTTCTATGTGTGTGGTTTTTCTGATGATAATTTTTTTTAGAAAAAAACAACACATCAGAGGTGTTTTAAACAAATTGGTGATTTACATATCCGCTCCTCATGAGAACACTGAAAGAAACAAAAAATGAATTGTGATCATATCGTTTTTTTTATTTCTTACCTGGAGATCGCTTGGGATCGCATTTAATTTGGAAATGTTTTTCTCATTCAATCACATTATTTTGTGCCATGCAATTAAATGGTGTGATGACTACAGATGTTTGTGGTGGCTATAACATGGATGATAATTATTATCATTATTGTAATCATCGCCATCTCCACCGCACACAGACGATTACACGGATACTCATGTCCGTGACACACACACACACACTCAGACGCCATATTTTTTTCGCAAAAAAAAAATACCTTACAACTTGTTTTGTTTTCCCCCTTTGCTTGCTTGTTGTTCAACAACGGGCGTTTTCTATTTTTCATCGCGCCCTCATTTGACCGAATCAATCGATCGGTTATTATTATCATGATATAAAGTAATACATTTGATTTCATTGATTATGATGAAATTAATTTTTTTTTTTTTTTTTTTATTGAAACAGAAAATTGTAGTAGCAATCACCTCTTATATTGGTTGTGGAATGTGGAAATTATCAACATCCGATACACATTGATAACACACACACACACACACACAGACATATGAAATAGCCAATGGCTAATTGTTGCATTTAATTTGTTTACTATGAATATCATAATATGCAAGTGTAACACACACACACACACACACACACATCGTCTAATTTCCTTTATTTTCACTTTTTTTTCCTTAGAGGCGGACAAATAGCGGTCATTTCCGTTGTAGCCCACTTTTTTTTCCCGATTAGTTTATATTTCATTTCATTTAATTTTGTATATTCATTGATTTATACTCTCATTGCTTTCTTTGAGAAAAAATATTCATCAAGTAAATAATAACAATGATGATTTCAATAACAGAGCAAAATTTCATCATTGTTTTTTTTTTGTTGTTGTTGTTGTTGTTCAGTCAGGATTAAATTATGCTAATGTGTGTTGTCGATCTTAGTTGTTTGTTTTCTCGTATCCGGCAGATTGGATTAGGCTGTCAAGTAGTAAATACAGAAGGGAAAAAATGGCCACTTTATGTATATATAATAGCTTCTGGCCAGAAAAATAAATAGATAGATAGATAGATAGGTATTGATGATGATTATGAGGATTTGATCCAATATTTACACTCGTAATAACGTGTATTATTACTCACCGATTTACTCTATTACTCATTTCACATTATTCAATTTTTTTTTTTTTTTTGATGATTTTGTTGTTTTTTTTCTTCTTCATCATACTAATCAAATCTTATAACCGAAAATACAGGTGCAAGTGCAAAATTATCGTCGTCCTCGTTTTTTTTTAAATTTTATTTCTGGGCATCTCGGAACAAATGGCCAATGGAACAATTTAAGTATATGCATGTTAATCATCATCAATTGATCCATTCAAGCTATATTCCCGAGTTTTGTCGAATTAGTAAAAACCGCCTGGCATCCGAAGCTTGTTCAGCTCTCTTTAGTGCACCACCCAAACAGGTATTGGATACACGAGCTCGTTTGGAAAAAAAAAAAACACGTGTTTCTTCTTTCTATCCACATCTTTTTAATTATATATTTTTTTTTATCATTTCAGTTAACATTTCTTCATCTATATGGATCCCCACACACACACACACAAACACAGCATGATAACATGGTTCTCTCCATACTGCAAAAAATTGTTTTATTTCTCATCTTGAAACAAACCAATAGTCTTCATGAGAAAAAAAATGTATGTATTACCTGTGTTGTATATGATAGATCGATGAGGTATAAAAATGTGCTCAATAATCAACATTGAATCACATTCAAACATCATCATTCAATCCAATCACATCTACAAGTGTTTTGTTTTGTTCATTTGAAATATCAAAAAAAAAAAAATAACCAAAAATGAAATTCAACAGTCAATCTGTTTTATTATTTGCCTTTTTGGGTTTGTTCGTTTCAACAGTCTACATTGAAGTGATCATGGCTAACAAAATGATTGCTGCCATGTTATTGGGTGCTGCATTGGCTAAACGACCAAAAATGTTGCCATTACCACTTCCACTTCCCGTATGTTTAATTTGATCACAACTTTCACTCCATTCTTATCCAAATTTTTCATTGTGTTGTTTGAGACATTCATTATATAATTTTTTTGTATTATATTTTGATTAGATCCCAATGAAAGTTGAACACAAGAAATATGTTCCATACAAGAAACCAATTCCATACTATGTTCATAAATCAGAACCAATCTAGTAAGTGTTTCGATGATTGTCAAGAAATTCTTTTAATTATTTAATCAATTTTTTCTCATTCCCACCTTTCATGTAATTAGTGTTGAAAAAGGTGGTTATGGCGGTGGTTACGGCGGTGGTTACGGCGGTGGTCACGGTGGTGGTTATTCAGGTGGTGGCGGTTATGGTGGCGAATACGCTGGTGGTGATCAGGGTTACAGTGGCGGTGGTGGTGGAGGTTATGAAGCCGGATATTAAACGTATTTTTTTCATCCAACGATTATAGAACATATATTAGCATAAACAGCCCACCATTTCATCTCACCTTTTGTCTCATATAAATATAATCATCACATCGTAACAAAATACAACATTGCCATACATTCATTCATATTTTTATACACACAGTATTCCATCATCACTGACCTGTTGATCAGCGGTAATGATGATAATGCTGTGTGTGCGAATAAATTTTCGCTCTTCCCTTTCCTCTTGATTCCAAATCAATTTATTTTTTTTTTGATTTGGTCTCAATACCACCGATAATTCCATATTCCATTTACGACATATTCCCACCATCCATTTTCCTGCCATAAAATACAATATCTTTGATCCTCACCACTCATAGTTACCTCTTTCTCTCTACAATTTTGTTATCTTTGTTTGCTTATAATCTGATTACTCCTAATGATCCTTGCCAATTCCTTTCCATGAACCAAACCCCATCATTTGAACACCCAAAACAAGAACATTAGTCATTGACTAGTTTAATATCCTCGTTTTTCCTCCCACATTTGATTTTGGAAACCATTAGTCTTGTTTTTGCATTTATTATTGTTCCACCTAATGTGTCCATCCATTATCGTAGCCTCATTTTCCCATTAGTCTAATAATGTACCATATTCATATCCACATCCTCACTCCTTACCTCCCTTTCTCTCCTTCCTTTTCATTTCACTTTCATCAATCATTACCACTTTTATCCACCACCCCTACCACCACCACCACCACCACCACACCTTCTCCATTTCCATTTCCATTTCTATTTCACCTTCACCTTCCCATCATCCTAAATCTATCATTGAAGTAGGCAAATACAATGTATAACTATTATATTATCCTTCCTTATTATTATTATTATTATTATCATTATTAATCTTTTTCCTTGAATTCATCATTTGTTTCTTTCCCAATTTGAATAAATCCTGAGCGATTTTTTATTTCAAACATTCATCATATATACTACATATATAATCACTATGATTATTATTATGAAATCATAAATAAAATTATCATTAAAATATATAACAGGAAAAAAAAATTTAATTATGAAAAATGAAATCTTATGGGGTTTCATTTTGATGGTCAAAAAAAAAAAAATTTTTTTTTTTTTCCGATTGCAAAAACACACACACGTGAATTGACTATGAGATTATCACATGGAAAAAAAAGTTGGGAAAAAAAAGATGAAAAATTTAATCATGAACAAAATAATAATCATATAGTTATATTATTAATTTCCGGAAACTTTTTCTCCTTCTTTGTTTGAACATTAATCTTTCGTCTCTTTTTTTTGGTGCTCGTTGTTGTTGTTGTTGTCTGAGATTAAATTGTTGAAATGAACCAAAAAAAAATGCACTAAATGGTATGGATAATAATCATTTTCCCATATTGGCACATGAATATATCTGAATTTTTTTTCATCTTATCAGAATTTTATCCGATGTGTGACTCTCATATTTTGTAAATTTTTCGAGTTTTTGTTTGTTTGTTTGTTTATTTGCTAAAATTTATTTTCCATAGATGGCGTTACGAAAACTATTAATTTTTGTTTTTTTTTTTTTCCAGATTCATTCATCATTAATTAATTATATTATTAATAATTGAAGGTTGATGTCGAATTATGATTGAATTGATTCACCCACCTGTAGAGTGGTCATCAACAGCATACAATAGAACGAAACAACAACAGAAAAAAAATAAAAATACCGGAAATGTGATACTTTGTGTAACACAAAAGAAAAACGAATTAATTAATTTCAATCAAAACGAAAACAAAAGACCTTGTTTGTTTCAAGATTGTTTGATTTTTTAACGAATGAAGAGATTAATGATTATCATCATCATCATCATCATCATCATCATAATATTTAGACATATAATTCGGTTATTCAGAACGAAAAAAAACGAAACGAAACGAAAGACGGAAAAAAGCGGACATTAAAATTTACCCGTGAGTGTGCAGAAAAAAAAGAAATGAAATTTCTTCTTACATCATCCATTTACCTGTGTGGGCCACCACCATCACCATCATTCCCGTTTTTCATTCATTCATAAATGAATGTTGCAACACAAAAGAGAAACTAGACATACATAACACTCACCACACACACACAAATTTGCTAAATGTCGGGAAATGGCAGAAAAAAAAATTGATGATTTTGTCCGTTTTGAACATGTTGATTGCAATGAAACAAAAACCATCATCATTTATTTTACAGACCAATCATCCTAGTGTATATTGGCGGGTTTTTGATTCATAATTTGTTTTTGTTTTTGTATTTGAATCATTATTATTATCATTTAGATTATAAATCAAAAATAATAATAATTTTCATTCTTTTTAAAATCATTCGATAATCGAAAAAATGGCGAATAATCGATTACGATTATCACAAAAACAACAACAACAACAACAACAACAATATCAGCCATTATCAACCTTGGCAATGATCATCATAACCATATTATTTTTAATGAATGAAATTCAACAAAATCAAGCTGGTCCAATGGCACAAATGCGTGCATTTCGTCTTGGTCAAAGTTTAACACGTCCACCAATGACCGTTTGGTTGCGTGTATTTTATCCGGTATGTTAATGTTCATGTGGATTCGATTTTTTTATATATAGTTTTTTGTTTTGTTTTGCAAAGTTTCCAATCGATGTTGTTGAAAAGAAATATGTACCAGTGAAAATACCGACACCTGTTTATGTGAATGGAATGCCACCATCATCATCACTAAAATCTACAATACCATCATCAGCATCTAGAAATTATTTACCATTATCATCCATAAATTATCCACAATTATCATCATATCCATCATCGTATGCAAGAAATCCAAATTATTATTATTATTATAAAAATAGTTATTCAGCCAAACAAAACCAACTACAACAACAACAACAACAACAACAATCATATTATTATGGCAATTATCTACATGAATCAACAACAGATTTATCACCAAAATATCAAATACAATCCAAATTAATGGCACCAAAAGAATATTCCAATTATTATTAGAGCCAATTACATCGACAATTTGTTCCTATATATAATCAATCATCATTTAACAATGTTATCAAACAATAAAAAAAAACCATTTTTGATCTTAATTTATAAAAATATATCACTCACACACACACACAAATACAAACTATGACACATTTGACAATACACTGACTATATTATAACCATTTTAACCAATTGAGCATCGATCGTAGATAATTCCACAATTCTAATCATGATTTTTTTTTAATCCTTATTATTAATAAATTAACTAATTATTCAAATTCATTTTTACCACGTGTTCCATATGATGTTGTCTTTATTTTATTTTTTTTTGAAATTAAAATTTTTTTTTATTGTGAAATTTTTTTTAAGACTTTAATTATTACCACAATCAATCTGTCACGTTTTTTACTTTTTTTCTCTCTTCTTGTTGTCTTGTTTCGTTTCCGCTAAAACGTTTCGCATCAACGAAAAGTTTCATCTTCATGATTATAATGATAATGTTTAGTGACTACGATGCGCAATTTAAAAAGCTGATCATTATCGCTGTTGCGGATATGTGTGTGTGTGTGTGTGTAAGTGGTTGATTAGCATAAATCGATATGTTTCAAATTGGATTTCACGTCCAAGAGCAAAAATGGTCCGTGTGTGAAACAAATCAAAAATTTCTTGAAACTTCCTTGATTATCAATATACAATAATCTATTAATTTAATTTATTAGTGGTTCAACATACAAGAATCAAATTAAATCCACAAAATAAAAAATTCAAATACTAAATACTAATCTTCAATTGGCCACGTATAATTTAAAAAAGATGCACATTGAAAGGTTGGATTTTTTTTTTTTTTGCATTTATCCGCTCAACACTCTTATCAAGCATTCAATATCTTCCTTGTTTTTTTTTTTGGTTTATATTTCTTGGAAAAAATTTTGTTATATAACGAGATCTTTACACATTGAAGTTGACAAATTTTTTTTCCGTCGTCTTCGTCGTCGTTGTTGTTGTGTGTAGACGAATTTTTGAATTTTTAAAATTTTATTTCCATTTTTTTTGAAATTTTTTTAAAGTTAAATTTTTTTTTAATTACAATAATCAATTTAGACGATGATGATCCAATATGATAATAATAGAGAATAAAGAATAAAGAATATAATAGAGAATATAAATAAAGTCAAAACACTGATCAGTTATTTCACGAAGACCAACAAGACTATTAATAAAAATAATATAATAACATATAACAATCGTTTTCGATTGATAATCGATGTTTTTCTTTCGAAAGTTGTCCATCCTTTTCGAATATTCGAATATAGCTCATTCAATTCAATGATTCGCATCAGATAAAGATGTTTTTTTTGTTGTTGTAATTATGATAATGATGATAATGGTAAAAATGATGAAATTCATTAGAAACCATTCAAAGCCATCCATTCGGATGTTTAATTGATCATTTCGATTTCCATATTTGGGATTGTTATGATTTTATGAAAATCATAACAATTCCCAGACATTCATATTGTCATTATGATCACAATTGATTTTATTATTACTAAAAATAAAATTAATATTATTATCTCTGGATATTGTTGGGCATTGAATTGCCATTATAAAAACCACAAATATTTGATTGATCATCACCATTTTTAAAAATACAGCGATAGTGATAAAAGTGACAAGTTTTCATTTTTTAATCATTTACAATTAATATTCATCTTCAAAAAATGTCAAATACAAAACAAATTTATCAATCCATGTGGGAAAAAAAGTGCGTCGATTTGCGACACAAGATATTGGACTTATATCATGAATTGAACCAAAGAAAAAATATCGAAAGTATAATCAAGTATGGAGAAATCAAAAACGAAATTAAAATGTTCAACAAAGAAGTGGAGTCAATAGCTCCAAAATATGAGTTGAATGTCAAAGAATACGCGATATTCAATGATGTATGGGAAGAAAAATGGAGTCAGATCAAAATGCAGATTCAAAATATGTCCGTTTCTTCAGACAAACCGACAACAGCTAGAGTGGCAAATTCACCAAAAATCAAATTCGACATCAACAAAATTCAACTTATTGAACAGTTCGATGGAAATATGATGAATTTCCCATTGTTTTGGGCTGAATTCGTTCGGATGGTTGATCAAACAGATCTATCTGACGAAGAAAAATTTGCAGCGTTGAAAAGTAAATTGGATGATAATACCAAAAGAAGAATAATCGGTTTAGGAGGAAAATCTTATAAAGTTGCCAAAAAGATTCTGGTTGATTACTTGTTGAATCCAAATATTGTGAAAAAATATTATTTACAAAATTTTCAAAAAGAGAAAAAAGTTGAAAATAGCAAGAATATCCAAGCTTTCAGAAATTTGATCACAGAGGCAACGATAACATATGAAAATTTAAAACTTGCAAAAGTCGACAACACAAGCATAGAAATTTTCGGACTAATGTTGATAGAAAGAATGCCAGACTCAATTTTAACACGATGTCGAATTCAAGATGATACGAAAAAAAATGTCGAGACGATTATAGATCAAATGCGACAAGAATTATTGCAAGTTGAAGAAATCGAAGGAAATTCTTTATTTTGGAACAACAATAACTCAATAACGGATGCCTCATCTAATCAAGAAGGTCATTCTGGACATTGCCAAAATAACATCGTAGCTACAAAAGGTATAGTTTTTATATTATTCATTATATGGAAAATTATCATCTTATGTTCCTTTTAGGTGAAACTAAAAAAGATGAAGAAGAAAAGCATGTTACTATTTTAAGTTCGAAATCAAATAAAAAAAGTGACAAATTGCATAGGATTTTCAGATTCTATCATTAAACCAATTCAAAAAAATTGTGAGAATATCGATTCAATACCATACGAAACAAGAAAAAAACGAAGAATTCCATTAAAAATGTCATCATTAAATATCAAAAAATATGTACAGCCGAAATATCTTATAAAAGCTGGAAAATTCGCGGCAGAAAACCAAGAAGAAATATTAGAAATAGGATCGACATTGGTGAACTATGGATCAAAAATCAAAAACTATTTCCAAACAAATAAAAGTGCAGATTCAAAAACATCAATCGATGATCAATACATTAAATGGCAACTGATACAAATGAAACAAGAATTGACGGAAAGCATTTGTTCAAATGAAGTAATTGCCAGAGAATTCAATAATACTAGAAATTTAATCGACATCCAAATCAAATTAAAGGTGATCGGACTACTACTGGAGAAATTCCTGAGTGGAAAAAATGAAAAAGGAATGCCTGAACAATTTAACGAATTATTTAGAGAAGAGTGGCACACATCGGGTGAACTAACTGAATTCAATGGTTGTTCTTGGTATAAAATGAAAATTGAAGCAATGGATCAATTCAACACAGTATTGATTTTGGATATAACAACGATAAAGCCAGAATCATACATTGTGCTAGAAGCTCATCCATTTACAATATTGAATAAAGATGAAGAACAAGAAATAATCTGTTCATATAAGTATTATGGACCAAATTACATTGTCAAAATAATGGATGGCTGCTATCAATCACTCAAATTTCATCAAAAATTGGAACAAGTTCTTGTACTTCCGTCAATTCAATGCCAAAAGAAGTTTAGAGTTTATTGGAAGAAAGATTATTGCTATGAAGATTATGACGGAGAGAACAAAAAACAAATACAATATGATGAAACAAACATATATTCATATTGTTTTAATGACTCCATCATGATTAAAAAAACATCATATAAATGCAATAATTCAATAATGCACATTCCATCAGGCGTTCCTTTTAATTTCGAACCCGAAATTTCAAGGTACGTCAAAGAAATATTGCCATCATCGGACATTGCTGCTATTAACAAATGGATATTGACCGATGACAACATTGCCATAGATTGATAATCGATGTTTTTCTTTCGAAAGTTGTCCATCCTTTTCGAATATTCGAATATAGCTCATTCAATTCAATGATGATTCGCATCAGATAAAGATGTTTTTTCTGTTGTTGTAATTATGATAATGATGATAATGGTAATGATGATGATGATGATGATGATGATGATGTGTGTGTGGCGACTTATTTGATCACAGATAAATGATGAAGATTTCAATTTTTTCATTTAAACCTGATATTCATTATTATTATTATTCAGATGAACATCTTGATGTTGATGAAAATGATGAAGATTTTTTGGCTCTTTTTTAACAATTGCCATATTATTATTATTATTAACATTATTTATCGTGATTATCGTTTGTTTACTATCATGATCAACAAATGATTCATCATTACATCATCATCATCATCATTGTTATGGAATTTTTCATTGTTGTTGTTGTTGTTGTTTTTATCATGCAAAATACGATCACGTGTTGTTGTTGTTGTTGTTGTGGGTGTTGTCATCATCAAATTGATTACATTACCATTGCTTCGTACATTTTTCTTATTTTTACCATCATCATCATCATCAATGACAACATCATCATCATTCGAATCATCAATATTGACCACCATTGTTGAAATAGAATTATTATTATTATTTATCTGTGTAATTGGTTGCTGTTGTTGTTGTCCATGCTGTAAAATTGATGACTGTTGTCGTCGTTGTTGTGATATCAAATCAATTTGATTGCTGTTGTTTTTATTATTCGCATTCATCATCATATTATTATTATCGTTATTATTAATCGTTAAATTTGAATTTTTAGCCATGAAATGAATATGAGCAAATTCCAATATCGTACGCAATGATTGTAGGGCACCATTACGAAATTTTTCATTCAACCAACAATATATGATTGGACTAATGACGGAAAAATTTTTTAATTATCAATTTTCTTTCCTATTGATAATCAAAAGAAGAAAAAACTTACTTGTAACAAACTGAAGACATTGCAAACCAATGGCACTGTGTGAATATAGAATTCAATGATGATAAATATTCAAAAAAAAAAACAAACAAATCAATCAAATTACTTACCATAATGAATGCAACTTGATTGAATTTCACTGAACGCATATCGACTAATAGAATATAAAGATTAATTGGTGCCCAACACGTTGCAAATGTAGCGACAGCTAATGCCAACATAAATATCCGACGACGTTTTGCTTCCGATTGACGACGTTTACGTTCATCACTTAATTTACAGATCAAAGCACCTTGCCTTGCTATTACGATGCCAATTTTAACATAAACAATCAATGTAATCGATAATGGTAATAGATATTGGGTAATCAATACTTCAACAGTCATCAATAGCGGAAAATTGAATGATACATTTGGATATTGTATACTGCAACGATATAGTAGACGGCCATAATAACGTTTTTCTTTTACACGATTAAATGATGCATGCGGTATTGATAATGTGATTGCAATCAACCATATACCCATTACCATTAATGCTACTTTTTTCCATGAATTTTTTTCCGTATTTGTTGCTGATCTTTGCCTTACCATCCATAACCGATGTAATGCTATCAATGTCATTGTGAATGTTGATACATAAACACATGAATATTGTATCAATGGTGCCAATATACATAATGCTGACCAAAATGGCCAACTAATCGGTAACATTCGTACAACATTGAATGGAATGTTGAACACTGAGTAAAAGAAATGAAAACAAAAAAAAAAAAAGAAAATTAGAATTTAAAAAAAAGATGTCAAAAGAAGAATTTTTTTCAAAAAAAGAAAAAAAAACGATTCTTCACACCAAATTCACACACACATACTAAAATCAAAAATTTGAAATTGAAATTACAAATGAAAATTATTATTCCCTATCAACCATCAACCATCACCATCACTCAATTGTTATTGGGAATTCTTTTTTTTGTCCTGAAGATGTATGAGATGTGACAAAAAAAATTTTGATTCATTTCAATTCTAGTGATAAAAGTGATAATTTATTCTTCATCATCATGACATTCTTAAATTACATATTTTTTGCATATATCAATCGTCGTACGTTTGTTTAAACATTTCAATTCCATTTTTATTTTTTGCTTGGTGCAAATTAAGAAGAGAAAGATCCAGAAAGAAAAATTCCAAATGTCAATCAAAAAAAAAAAGAAATGACGTAAAACTTTGAATAACAATGACAATGATATAATGGTGGGTGGGTGATGAGTTTTTTTTTCTATTCGATATTTTAAAATGTTCAATATAATAATGATTACGAAATACTTGGTGAACTTTGAAGAAACATAAAAAGAAATTATTGGATTACATTTACTTTCTTTCATGGTTTTCGGTGCAAAACTTTGAAAAAAAAAAAAATAAAATTGGTCAAGCTTAGCTAGAAAAAATGGGAAAAAAATTGGATTTTCATTTTCATTTCGTTTTGTTTTGTTTGTTTTGATTTGATGACTGACTGACTGGACTGATTCACTCAAAAAAAAAATCTCACTTTTGTTTGCTCGGTCGGAATTCTCGATTCTTAACAATTTTTTTTCTTTTTTTCTTTTTTTTCGTTCCAAGATTGAATTCTGACACTTCATAATGTGCACCCATTGTGTCGCTTAGCTTATAAAATAACTGTAATGGCTGTAAATAAAGGGCTTAGCTTTTATGATTTTTTTTCTCGCTCTCTCTCTCATTTTTGGGAGTGCGAAATTGAATTTTTCGTTTTTCGTTTAGTGCATGTTTTCCTAATCAAATCATAATGAAAAAAAAAAATAAAATGAACTAAAATAAATCCACTGCAATCACATTCAATGACATGACAATAGAATTCAATTTTTGACACATCATTGGCACCTCTCTTTTTTTTCATTTTAACCCTTCATTTTCTTTTGTTTTTTCCATCACCATCACCACCACCACCACCATCACCATTAAATCCAATCATCCAAGCACAAAAAAAAATCACAACGGAAATGGATAGATTGAATAAAAATCCGGAAGTAGATGATCGACCGGAAATTCAATTTACCACCACCATCATCGTTGTTGTTGACGACAAACAAAACAACAACAAAAAAAATTCGAATGTTCAGCTTCAATGATTTTACCAACGAAAGAAAGAAAGAAATTCTTGATTTTTTTCAGAAAAAAAAGTATCACTTGATTCTGTATGAATGAATGAATGAAACAGAATTTCAGATTTTTTTTTTATTTTTTATTTTGCAATTTGAATCCCACAGGGGAATCGTTTTTCTCTCTCTCTCTCCTGAGTTTTGTTTGATTCGATTCTTTCTCCAGATTCAATGAATTTAATGTTTTTTCTTTCTTTCTTTCTTTTTTTTTCGTTAGAAAAAAAGCCAATAAATTTTTTTTCCACCATTATTCAATGATCAAATGTTTTCCATCATCATCATCATCATCATCATCATCGATAGATCAATGATTTGTTCAAGGAAAAATTTCGAGGATTTAGAGCAGAACAAAAAAAAAACAGAAACCAAATTTGATATCAACCACAATAACAAAAACAAAAACAACAAAAACAACGACAACAACAATCTATATACAGTTGAGATCTGTTTTTTTTTCATTTGATTGAAATTCTGATTCTGATTTTTATTTCAACACGAATCTGTGTGTGTGTTTTTTTTTTTTTTTTTGCCAAGATTTTCATTTTAGCAAGAAAGCAAGAAAAATTGAGGTGCGTGTGTGTGTGTGTGTGACTGACTGATGAAACGAAACGAAACGAAACGGAAAAAAAATTTCAATTGATTAATTGACAGTGAAAAAAAAACAAGAAAAAAAACAAAATCAAAAAAAAGTTGATGCATTGAAATTATCATTTCAAAATTTTTTTATTTTTTCGTTTGCAAGCTGCTTCTACTATACCAAGCTGGAAGCACTGCTCAAAGGTAAATTCAAATGACATGACATGATTTTTTTTTCGTTCGTTTGTTCGTTTGTTTGTCAATCCGATTAAATTATCATCAAAATCATCATCATCATCATCATAGTAATTATAATCAATGATGACATGTGATGTGAGTAATTATTATTCAAATTTTTTTTCCTTTCTGTGTTTGTGTTTCTCTCTAAATGAATGAATGAATGAATGAATGAACCGATTCTGCCAACCAATCAACCGAAAAAAAATGAATGAATATAGAATGAATAAATGCTTTCTTTGTGATTATTTATTCCATGAAAAAACATTCTGGAAAACATTCTTTTTTTTTTCACAGGATATTGGTTTGATAAAATGGATTGCATTTTTTTGTTTTGTTTTGTTTTGTTTGTAATTGTGATTTTCATTGAGTGTGTCTGTGTTTGTTTTATTGTTTGAATTGATCATCATCATCATCATAATCATCATCATCATCATCATAATCATTATTGATCGATATGATTGAAAATTCATGTTTTCACTGCTTTAATCACTTTTATATACACACAGTTCATTGGAAGGTTGTGTAAACAAATGGCCAACTAGATTACGATGATGATGATGATGATGATATTTAAATTTGAATAATTTTTTTCCCATGTCAAAAATGGACTTTTTGATTTTCAATCGTTTTTTTTTGCTTTGAGTGTGTTTTGTTGTTGTTGTTGTTGTTGTTTTCGTTGCCGGAACTTTGACAAAAAAAAACTCCAAATCAAAGTTCCAAATCAAATATCGAATTTATTTGATTGATTTTATGTATCGAATGTTCGTGTGTGTGTGTGTGTGTATTAGATTCCGGTAATGTATTCTGGTTTTTTTGTTCACCGTTTGATCATGATCCACACACACACACACAGATCAAATCAAACGAAGAAGACGAAGTTTTTCTTTCAATTTCCATGTTTTTTGAAATGTCAAAAGTTTTTTTTGCTTGGCTTTTGCTAATATAATACAAAAAAAGTACGGCAGGTTATAAAATAAAACCACACAAATGGTTATAATGGAAAAAAAGAATCGATAGTTTTTTTTGGCGATTAATCGATTGTTTGGCTGTAAAACGTTCGAAATATTATACAACTTAATTCTTCAGCCGTTTATCGAATCGAATCTGTATTTGTTGTTTTATTTTTTCATTTGATCAAAGAATTCAAATTGTTCAATATTCTGGCATTGATCGATTGGAAACAAAGCCACAACCAATTAAATTTGTCAATACCAGACCGTTGATGAGAAAGAAAAAACACAGGTAAAAGATTCAAGAATCAACTCTATTGTTTGATTGATTGATTGAAAATTCTTTTCCATTATTTCAAACAGAAGAAACCTTGTTCATTTTTTTTCGTGGTTGTTATTATTGCTATACCTTGATTATTGGCGAATGTTTCGTTAACGAAAAATTTCTTTGTCCATATGTTCAGTTTTTTTTATATGCCCATCCGACAATTGCCAAAATTATCGATACGACAATCACTACCATCATCACAGTAGCACAATTCATAATAATCAAAAATTTGTCAGGTTATTGTGTTTGTCTATCGATTTTTTCATTATAATTGTTAAATAATGGCAACATGTACAACAAACGTCTGGAACAAAACAGAAAAATTCTCAATCAAAAAAAAAAAAGAAGAAGCTACAATAAAGAATTAAATTAACGGAATCGATGGTTATCGAATGGAAGATCAATTTTCAAAGATTTTTATCAATAAAAAAAAATTCGTTTCAAAATTAAATGAAAAAAAACAACAGTAAACAATGGCTGTCATCATCATCAGTTTTCGTTTTTTTCAATAAATGAAGAATCAGTGTTTCAAAGAAATCGAAATTCGAAAGAATCGCAACTATTAGAACAACATGGTAGTGTGTGATGTGTGACAAGAACCAGATGTGTGCTTGAAGAGAGGACAAAAAAAAAATTTTTTTTCTCGCAATAAATCACAATTTGAAATTATTAGATTTACACATTCAGGTTCAGGTAAGAAAAAAAAAACAATTCTATTTTTAATAGTGTAACCCTTTTTTCCATATATAGTATTTCAATTTGTCTTCTTTTTTTTGTTCGCTGTTTTTTTTGTTTGTTTGAACAACAACCGACAATTCTTTTCTATCCCCTACTCGGAAACATAGAATGAATGAATTTCACGTGGGAAAAACAAAACAAAACGATCATAATTTTTCATTATTAATTTATAAAGATAGATTTGGAAAATTAAATTACCGAATCGGGAATTAAAAAAAAAATGCAGACAATCAACCATGAAAACATTCATACACCTGTTCTCTAGTATTGTCGTGAATGGTGGCAACGAACAAACAAACAAACAAACAAATGTTCCGTGGTAAAAACAAGTTCGTTATTGTCCATTGTCTCATGTTGGAATTCTTCATTTTAATTCCAATTGGGAATTTTTTTTTCTTTTCGTCGTTGTTTCGGGTAATTTCTCTTTCTTTTTTTTTTCTTGTTGTTGTTGAATTAATCAAATATGTGTTCTTTTTTTTTTTCCAGGATAGAATAGTTTTTTTTTGCCCATTGTCTGTCGTCATCATCATTTGTTTACAATTCTCATTTTTTCCATTTTGACTTTTCCATTATTGTATCGTGTTGCTGTTGTTGTCGTTGTTCACTGTCATCAACAGCGACAGCTACAGCAACAACTTGAATAATAATTTTAGCCCGTGTTTTTTTTTTATTTAATGAACAAAATGCAAACAACAGCAATTTAAACAGACACCCTTAGTCACTTTTTATCTTATTCGACAATTTTTTTTTTTGTTGTTCTTCAACTCACTTAAATTTGTGATGCATGCATGCATGCGTATGTATATGTATTGGTTCATCATCATCATTTTTACATTGGACCATGTTTTTCATTTTCCGGTTCAACCCTTTTTATTGGTTCCAAAAAAATACACCCAACACGAACAAGAAGATTAAAAAAAAGAAGAATAAAAAGTGAGTGAAATTTTTTTTTTATATATCGATAATTCTTCTCCATGTAAGTCTCTTTTATATTTTATCGTCATATCAGCTTGTTGGCTACATGTGTGTGTGTGTGTGTGTGCATAAGCATTTGTTTGCATGAAAAAAAAATTCAATTTTCTTTCCATCTGATCATCTGATCATCATCATCATTTCATTTGTTGTACATGTTTACCATTCATTCATTCATACATACATGGTGACAAGAATTATTTGGCTTTTTTTCTTTGCTAAGAAAATCATGTTTGAGAATTGTAATTTGCAAATGTTGCAACTACTATGTTGTTTGGCCAAACAACATAGAAAAATCGGCCAGAAAAAAACTTATTATATTCTCGATCACACACACACATGCATGCATGCATTTATTACCGAATTTTTTTTTTTTTGCAAATGAGCAAAAAAAAAAACAAGTATAAAATATTGAGGTCAAATAGAATTTATTATTATTATCATTTTCTTTTTTTCAGAAAGAAAAAGTGGAAAATTTTTTCATCTATAGAATAGAAAAATAGAATCCAATTTTCTTGCTGTCGAAAGTAGTGTTTTTTTTCTTACTCAAGTATTTTGAAACATTTTCATATTTATTTCCATTATTTTCTTCGATTAGCATTTGGCGCTTTCCGCATTTTTTAATGAAATTTTTTTTTTTTTTTTTTTTTGCTTTGAAAAAATTCTTTTTTGCCTCTCTCTAACACTCTATTTTATATTCAATGATGTGTAATAATTGAATATATATGAATTTTTGTCGTATCATTATCTTTGATCATTTTACCATTTAGTGTTTCTCTCTCTTGCTCTTTTTCATTTTTTTTTTTTCTTAGTGCCAGAACTTTATTCTCACGAATTTTTTTTTTTCGTTTTTTGTTTAATTTCCTATTATTATTCAATTTTTTTTTGCTGTTCCACATGAACTTTGATTCATAATAATCATTATATTATGATCAGATTTTTATTTTTTGTTTTTGTATTGCATTCACTCATACATGAAATTTGTCAAAAAAAAAATTCTCACTGTTTTCATTTTCCAAAGAATTTTTCATTTATTTTTTCTGTTTGAACGAAATTTTCTGACATTTTTTTTCCGATACTTGTTGTTTGTCATGATCTCTGACACATCAGAACAGATGAAATATCGATTTTTGTTTTTCAATATTTCAAACACATCAAAGTAATAGTCTAACTTTTCTCATATTTTTGTATATAGAAGTTTCAATATATATCTGAATGATGATCAGATTTTGCCCTGAAGCTGTATATATAGATAGATTCTTTTTAAATCGGTATTTCCACACACACACACATACGCACTCACACACCATATAAAAAATAGACATTGTGCATCAATGATTAAAATGAGCAAGCAAAATATATATAACAGTGTGTATGTGTGTGTGTTTGTTTTTTTCATACATGTCGTTTTTTTGTCATTTGTTTTCTATTTTATTCGTATCGAAATTGAACATGGAAATAAAAAAAAAGACGTTTCATTCATTTCAAATTCATTCGATTGCAAAACATTCTGATGAAATTGACAAGTGCCAGTGTGTGACTGTGTGTGTGTAAATATTCTTTGGATTATTTTTTTTTCTGACAAAATTCTTGATATCGATTTTTTTTTTTTTGATATTCATTGATTTCGAATAATGATTTTTTCTCTCTCGTTTTATCTAGAATCATGGCCTGATATCATGAGATCAAATAACCAATTGGTTGGAACTAATCATTTGAATTTGTTTTTTGAACACTTTTTTTTGACGCAAAAGAAAAATTTTGTCAATCGATGTGAATAATCTTTTATTATTCTCAACATGCCAAATTCACAATGTTTCCAATCATGAAATATTTCCAAATTCAGACTAATCAATCACATTCATATGTTTGTTAGGAAAATGTACATTTTCTGACCACCTGGATTAGTAGTAGTTACATTTTTTTTCTTATTATTACTTGATAATAATTCTTTCTTGTAATCTCATAATGAATTGAAATATCCTTCATCATCATTGAATTATTTCACGATGGAATTATTTTCCGATTCAAAATTCATTATTCTTTATTCTGCCAATGAATAATCATTCATCATCATCATCATCATATGACGTGTGGAAAAAGAATACAAAAGAAAAAATGGGATAATTCTCACTCTCTTTGCTCAGCTCTCTCTCTCTCTCTCTCTGTGTGTGTGTGTGTGTGTGTGTGTACAATTCTTTTTTTATTCATTTTCCAACGAATAAGTAATAATCAACAACAACAACAACAATAACGACAATAACAATTGTAATCAATCAATTCAATCCATTCATTTTGAATTACATTCATATTCATAATACTTTCGTTTTTTTTACACATTTCCAATTCTATTTATAAAACACATTGTCATCATTCATTCATTCATTCATTTAATAATGATAATCATTTGCATTTGTCATTATGATTCACAATACGTACCATCATCATTACATCATCATCAATAACAACAATAATGATGAAAATAAAGCAATAATAATCATAATGAGAATGAATATGAATGAATGAATGAATTTTGTATTTTCATTTGTTTGTTTGTTTTGTTCATGTTTTTGTTGTTTTGTTGTTAATATATCATATCATGTTTATATATGGTTATAAAAATGAAATTTTTGATTAAGCTAAAAATGCCACAGCCAAAAAAAAGGTCACACAATAATTTTTTTTTTCACACATGAAGTTTGTGGTGTGGTCGATAATCTTTGATTGATTGATCATCATCATATGATGATGATAATTTCATTTTTGTTGGCTTTTTTTCCATGGTTTGCCCGATAAAATCAGTGTTTTGTTTTCGTTCTGCCCATATAATAATTTTGTTGTTGTTTTTTTTTGTTCATTCTTTTTGGTTGATTGCATTTGATGGTTTTTATCCGCTTTATTTCTCAAGCGTATAAAGAAAAACAGATCAGAATCAAGTGATAAACATATTTATTCATTTTGTTGTTGTTTTTTTTGTTGTTGTTGTTGTTGTTATGTGTCTCTCAGTGTGCGAAATCAATTCATTTGCCCATAAGGCGATTTATATACTGTTGATGTCCCATTAACAAAATGCCATATGGTGAAGCCAACATTTTCAACGTTGTCCATTCTAATAATGTTCAATATCGATATCGATTGCTGATGACCTGATGCTTGATCTCTATGTGATTTCATTACAATGAATAAATTTTGCTCATGCGTACATTCAAATTTGAAAAAAACAACTGCTATTTTATCAGCTAACGAAATGATTTATTGATTATTCATATTCATAATTTAAATTAATTAAAATTCTAAATTCATTACAGTGCAAATGAATGACGTTTAATAATAATAATAATAATTCTGATGAAGATGACATCAATTCATTGATTTTCCTTGGAATTTGTGTGTGTGTGTTTGGTTCGTTTTTTTTCTGTTGTTGTTGTTGGCTGAGTTATTCCAACGAATAACCTTTACAAAATTGGCAGCCAAACAAGCAGGACAGAAAAAACAATCTGCGAACAATTCATTATTTCCGTTTAGGTAGACATGAAAATCTCATTACTCTGTTCGTGTGTGTGTGTGTGTGTGTGTGTTTGCATGTTTATTACACATTCATTCATGTGCATTACTTGTGATTTGAATGGCTTTATTTCCAATATCCAAAACGTTTCATTTCCAATTTCCAATTTTTTCCAGTTTATTGTGTTGTAATATTTCAATGATTTCATTTCGTTTCATTTCATTTTTTTCATCATCATTATTATTGAATTGATGATGATGATGATGATTTGTGTACCAAATTACAAATGACATTTATAGCCATAAACATAAATATATCATTTATTCAGATGAAATTTCGTGATGATGATTTTTTTTTGTTCTCATGATGGCCAAAAATTACCACCACAAATGGAATTTGTTGTTGTTGTTGTTGTTTGTTTAACAAATAATATCATCATCATCGTTATGAATATTCATTTTTCTGGTTTATTCCGTTCAATATTCATATGTGATCCAGTATTTTTGTTGTAGCCAGTGCGCCACAAGTTATCCATATTCATATGATCATCATCATTAGTTTTATTTATTCATTTTGTTTTTAATTATATAATTAGCTTTAATTATGATTTTCAAAAAGCTGCTACTACTGCTACTGCTGATGGTGATGATAATGATGATGATTGAGCCATAAGTGTCCACTTTCAAGTGAGAAAAAAAAACAAAACATATGATGATGATGATTAAACTTGAATTGTGTCGAAATAATGTTTTCAATAATGATAATGTTTTGAATACTGAAATGTGATCGATACACTTATTTTTTTTTTTAATTAACAGTGAAAAATCCATTTCGTTTTTGTAAATTAAAATTAAATTTACTCTGAGTTCCGGATTGTTTTTTTTGGAAGAATTTTTTTTTGTTCTTCTCCACCATTATTCTAGTATTATAGCCGATATAGAATAACGGAAATGAACATAAATTGACCAATTCCTGTTTATTGAGAGCCAAAATTCTATACATGGAACCAGAACGATGAAAATCAATAAATATTGTGTGTGTGTGTGTG